GTGTCCCGCTGGAATATCACGCTCTCGCACATCGTTTTCTTCCACTTCAACAACATTTCTGAGACACTTGACCTGGAATAAACTTTTTAGACGGACTGTTAATATGCCTACGACTGTTTTGCCTAAATATATTAATCAATCAATCGGCCAGCAGAGCAGCCACTTCGATGAATCCATCCCAGTGTCACCTACCATAATAAACTGCTACTGCCTTCAGTCACCGGACCAGAGGCGGTGAGGAAAGGGGGGGGGCGAGATTTCCGGTGGTCACCGTGAATCATGAATAACGTCAACGTTTTTGTTTAAGCTGTGAAAGATCGGGATCTTTTAAAGGATTCTAACAGATGTACGAAGGACGCCCACGTTTTCTACAACGTTAGATCAACCAGCTTCGCAGTGCTTCGACTGATGATTAACGTATATTCAATCTTTGTTTTTTAGTATGTTTTAGAGTTGACACTGCATTCCGTTTCGTCTCTCGTTCTAAGATAATTATATTGAGGAAAATGCGTTTTATGTGCTTACTGTTACGCACTTGTCTACATTTTCTGTGACTCCCTCTAGGGGTGAACCGAAGACATGGTACGGTGTTTCGCGCTTCCACGCGGAAGACTTCGAACGAGCAATGCGAAAACACGCGCCGGAATTGTTTGATCAGTCACCGGACTTATTGCATCATATCACGACCAATATGAATCCAAATATACTACAGGCTGAGGGCGTCCCTATCTATCGAACCGATCAGTATTGTGGCGAGTTTGTAGTTACGTTTCCCCGTGCCTATCATGCTGGTTTCAATCAAGGCTTCAATTTTGCCGAGGCTGTGAATATTTGCCTTCCTGATTGGGTAGGTTGTAATCGCCGTTTGTCTTTGTCAAGCCACTCCTTATTGCTCTGCGTTCATCCCATCTTGCTCCTAAGGTGTATAATGATCCTGTTACTTAGATTTACTCATTTTTCATTCGTACTAAGTAAACAACTTTACTCAACCTTTTGGCTGCAGTTCGTGTCATTATTTACTGTTTAATTACTAGTAAGAATGGGATTAAACCAAAGGTATACCGGTCATGTGTTTAAACACCCGTTTACCCTGGGTGATTTGTGGTTCTACTTTGACTAATACTATCTTTAATTTGTTGAATCCACAACTCTCATTTTTCTAGTTATAACTACATACTGGATCGTCGAGACTGTTTCATTTCTGTTGTTTCCCTTGAGGCGTTCAGTAAAACAAAAGTTTACAGAGCTCTATGATTCCACCAGAATCTGGTTTCATCAATAAGTACAGAGTCCCTGGATTGATTTAGCTGGTTTCGTCCACAGAGGGCTTAATATTCTCATGTTAAGAAGCTACAAATTCCTAACTTTTGCGTCTTCACTTACGTACAGTTCCTCCGTTTAGTTAAAAAAACGGGTCAAATTCGAGACCCACATTTGTTTTATCAAATGTTACAATCTGTCTACACACCGCAGATGCAACTTCGTAAATGCTGCTGTATCTTCGTTCTACGCACTTCCAACCTAGCTTTCTATTGGTCGGGAATGTGTCGAGCACTATGCGGAAATCAAGCGCCATTGTGTTTTCTCCAACGATGAGTTGCTGTGCACTTTGGCCGAGGTAGCCGTTGGCCGATGTCGCCCAGAAGATGTGCTACAGCTAACTAATCCGTACACTCCACCCAAACAACGAAATTCGATGACCAGACGTGGTTTACATGACTCAAAGCCACGACTTCCTCCTGGTTGTTCCACCGCAGGACTGGATATCAGTGCGATTGCAGCCGTACATCAAGAGTTCACGGTTGTGCTAAACAACGAACGTCTTATGAGGAACTCCGTCCATGAAACTGGTGTCAAACAGATCGAGAAAGTCCGGTTTGACGATTTGTCAGATGACACTCGCGTTTGTGATGCCTGTCTAACCACCCTTTTCCTGTCCGCTGTGAGTTGTCCTTGTCTTGATGAAGCCAACAAAGAGGAATCAACCCGCTTGAAGCGTAAACTCAATGAGCCAAAACCACCTGAGTGTGACAGTTCCTTTGACGGTAAGACCTGAGTGTGTACTCGTTCCTGTTTTCTTTGTCTCATTTCTCACCTTCGATCTATTAACTTACAGTTCAGTCAACAATTGTAATTAAAACTACAAAAACGAGCGTTATCACTCGGGTAAGATTCGTATTTTTATTACGCTCATCTGTGTGTGTTCAATAGTGGACGGCGCGGACCCCCATAGACCTGGGATTCACCAATGGTAACCGGCAGCCCAAGCGCCGGGACTTGAAGTGGTAAACCGCAAGGCCCCTCTAGGTTGGACAGCTTTGAACCGGAGGACAGCAAGGATGGCTATTATAATCATTCCTTCGTTTGCTTTAGGGAGTGCTCAGAGTTTGATAAGTAGTATTATTCACAGCGATGTTTTCTCCCTTTCGGCAAATCCAGGTCTACTTTTCTACACTCGGTACATCTTACAACATCCTACGTTTTTAAAATAGCATATTGATCACATTTCTACGAAAACAAATCTGTCACTAGAAAAAATCTATAGTGCACTGCCATATTATTTTACCTGCTTGAAACGACTCATTCGGCTACCGAGAATGTTGAGCTCCATGGTCATTCGTGCCTTATTATTCACACACCGAACCTCGTGAGGTTATTTTTTATTTGCACTTGTGATTCAATAATAAAAAACTCAGCGCGTCCTTGTGGCCCGAGATTCTACTATTCATTCTGCTTCTTGTCAGTTTCACCACCCGTTAAAGCCATTTTCTGGTGTTTTGCTTATGTTAATCTTCAGCTGATCTTGCTGTGGGTATAAATAGGAAGTGCACCCACCCAGGTCAAGTTAATAAATGAATTGTGCACTTTTTGCAATGAATAATTTTTCTGTGCACATTATGGTATACTAAGTAATGCAGGTTGTCAGCTTCTTAGTCTCAAGGATTGGATGTTCAATAATGTATATATATATATATATAACACAGTTAAATGGCGTTTAAATAGTGGATAACAGTATATCACAAAAATAACAATAATTTTTTGTGTTTTAATTTTATCTTTTTCATGGGGCACGGGATTTCAACCGGCAAACCGTGCAGCGTTCGCGTGACTTCTATTCTCGGCCATATCTTTTAGCGCCTCTAACCAACGACAGTCCTGATTTCTTGGGTCCAATCTGGAAGGTGGGCTGCACCAACCGAAGCCAAAGCTGAAGCGGGCTAGCTTCTTCGTAGCTCTACGTCAGGTCGTCCAGCATATGCAAGGAGAGCACGGAAAGGTAAACGATGGGCGGGCATACGCCAAACATGGCCAGTTTATCGGTGGTGGTGTAGACCGATTACTTCTTTTGGAGAACGACTGTCCGCACGACAACAAACCTCGTCATTACTCACCCGATGTTCCCATCAGACACGAGCAATGCATCGGAGGCATCGGTGATCGAATACAGAAAGTCGATTAGCACTATTGCACTCGTTTAGATCACATTTAAATTTTTACTATGGGTAATTTACCAAGCTGATGGTTGTTGAACTCCACTGGATTCGGATGTTGGTAAAATGAGATGAAAGACTATCATGTTCACTTATGGGTGCTGGACAGTTGGGTGTTTCAATGCTCCAGCAAATCCCATGTTGCGTGCTACTGCGGATTCTAGGCGTCAAGTTCATTCCTTCGAGCCACGCAATAACTTACGTTGCCTTTTTCTTACAATTTAAGAGCATCGTGTAGATGTTGTCAAATCAGCAATAGCATCGTTGCTCCTACTTAATTTTCACAGGCTAAAATGAATGTATACTGTGCATCAAGGTTTACACTATCTGACTTTGAAATGTGCTTTTTCCTTCACTAATGATTTCCTTACTGATTTTATTTTTTATCTTTGTTTTTATTCAAAAGAAAAAAACCGACCTAAAAGTCATATGGTGTGTCTGAGACATGTAGAACAGTTGTGCACCTCTTGTGCCATCTCATCTTTCACACTCAAATACCATTATACACTGGAGGAGCTGCGGGAATTGGAAGATGCGTTAGCCTGTCGTTTGAAGGATTTCTACGCTTGGCGTGATCGCCTCTCGTCGTTCCTAAAACCGACCGATACGGCTGATATGAAGTCCAGACAGGAACGTGATCTCTCCACAACGACCCCATGTGTGGTGACAAAGAAAGAACCTGCGGATAGTACTGCAAAAGCTTCCGATTCATCTGCTACATCGATCACTTTGGAGGACCTCGTGGTATGTTGGCTTCTTTTGTCGTGGTTTTCATACCCGGATAATTTTTAGCAGCCGATATGTTTATTTTTGTATGCGACTCATCACAACTATTTCGACCAGTGTCGTCATTTCGTATGAACTTCACAGTCTTTCTTGTTACACACATTTTGTAATAGAAAGCGGAATCGATGAACTCCTTAGAGGACCTACTGTTTACTTTCAAGTGGTAGGCGACTCTGTCGTTACCTGGCCCACCACCATGCCTGAACTATTGAATCCTTATGTGGTCAGCTACTCCAATTCCCAGGATCATGATTGCCGGGTAACTTCTCATAACAAAAGCATGACAACTCACACGCTCTCGCTCTTTACGCATTTGCAATGGAAACATACGCTCATTATCCTCGCTAATATTTGCGGGCTGAACCGCAGCATTGATTCTGTACACTTTTCTCCATTTTTCACATTAACACAAATCTCCCCCTCGTCGGACACCACCCATCTTCAAGTACCCAATTATACCTTCCACTCCTCTCTAATCAAAGCTGGTGTTCACGCCTTTATCCAGCCGTTTAATCTTTCCCTTCAACTTTCTACTTTTCCAACACCTTGAAAACACGCTGTAATTTTCCCATTCTCAAACGCAGCGACCTTTCTGACCCCAAAACCTACCTACTCGTTTCCCCCACATCTGTTCTTTCGAAAGTATTCTAAACCATCATCTCCGACAAACTACGCACGTTCATCAAACCTGAGGGACTACTGAGTGACCGTCAGTATGGCTTCCGACATAGTCGTTCCACCGGTGACTTGCTGGCCTTTGTCTCAATGCTGGTCGAATGAACTGGACAACGATAGAGAAACACACTTGGTTTGGCTTGATATTTCGAAGGCTTCGACCAAGTTTGGCATGGGTCCTGGCGAAACTATCCATGTTCCAGTTTTTTTCAGTAAGCGACCCATCTCTGGCCAAATTGATGGGGTTCTCTTTCATGCATGCTGGTGCTCCCCAAGGTTTAGTGCTTGCATCCACCATCTATTTTCTGTCCATTCCTTTATTGATGACGCCAACCTCTTCTGCCACACTACCCGCCATGCCCAAATCAGCAGCAATCGTAACCGTAGTACAGTTAATGTACCACTGAACTTCAATCTTGAACGCCTCCTTAGGGGCATTGTCATTCAGCTTCTCTGTAACACCATTCATCCTAACGCACTTATCTTTTGGTTCCACCAACTTTGTTAATCAGGCTCTATTACCCTACTTGGATTGTCTATAACTTCTTTATGCAGGTTCACTTTTATAGCTCAGCTTGCTTCTCATTCTTCGCGCAGGATTGTTCTGTTCTCCCTTGCCAGACGCCTTTTCAACTCACATTCTGCTGTACAAAGCTCGAATCCGCCATGCTTTTGAATACTGCAGTCCCGTATGGGGTGGAGGTTCGTTTTCTTTTACTTTTTGGTTGTGTTTAACGAAAGGTCATCCTTCCCGAACCTCCAAACTGCAGTCACAAGCCCATCGTCGGGCAGTTGCCTCAGTGTCCCGGCTCTGCCGTTACTACTTTGGTTTTTATTCCTCGGAACTTACCGCGGTAGTTCCTATCCTGTAACCTTTGCCTGTTCATCCCGCTCACAGACATCTACTCACCCTTATCAGATTTCGGCCACCAGGTGTTCTTCCCCGTTTCACTTTTTTTCACCGAACTGCCAAGTTGTGAAACATCCACTTTTTGTCTTTTCCCCAATTTACAACTTTACACTCTTTAAATTGGATCCCACTTGAATGTTCCCCTACTCTCCCTTTTGTGATGTTTTTCTATGGGCATTTTATTGTAATCCGCATTGTGTAATGAAAAAACCGGCAACCTAAGCCACCAAACTTGAAGTGCCGAACCCCACACTACCCCAATAACATCCGTTTAATTATCAAGCACTGTTGCTTCGGTGAGATTTCACTCAGTAGTTGAGAACCTATTTGTCTAGAAGTTCTTATATTAAATGACCTGTTTTATCTTCGCTTCTCACGATAGCATTATTTGTTTTTCGTTGACCTTTAGGATTTGTTATAGGTTTGTAACTGATATCACGGCGAGAAAGAACCACATTCCAGCAGGATAACATAAATTCGGTCATTTCGGTTTCTCTCAATCAGCAGCATATGTACAATGGCAATAAAGGTTAACCAACAACAAAGACGTGATAGGTTTTGATTGATTTGGCTGACTATCCTTCGGACTTCGCCTTCCTCAGTTCAACCATACACTCGGAAGCACTGGATTCGAGTTTCGCTCTTATTAGAGCTCATCAGTAGTGCATATCCACCGTCCCGTCCGGGATTTGCACTCCATCGCATGGAAGGCGTGTGTTACCACTTTGCCAACCAGCTCATACCATAGCTGAACCAAATTGTCAATGCATGTTCGTTCAGGTGTCATCTTCGGTAATGGTCAGTCGGTTCATTTGGTCCGACAGCAACGAAGGGAGACACAGATGACTACCTGTTAACTCCAATGGAATAGATGAACTGAGGATGGTGTGTCAAGGTGAAGTGCGAAGGACAGTCAAATCAATCAATATCAATTATCCCACATACACTACTCACAAGTAACTGTGAGTCAAATGCAAAACTGATAGGTTATAGGACAAATGAACACCAATTGGGCCTATCACAGGACAGGGGCAAAGATCACACAGTCAACCACGGCGAGTGAACACATGACGGTGATCAGCCCTATCAGGGCAGGACAAGACTGGCCACAAAGTCTAATTGTTTACTTAAGTTGGTTTTAGGCCGTCGAATGGCGGAGGCTTCGGCAAACTGGAATAGACGATGGTGTTGTTGTCTACTTATGATCCTAAAAGACTTGTTTGACTCCACACACGAATTACAGTGTAATAAGTGGCAAGCAATACAGCTTTCAGGAGCTTTGCCTCCCTTAGCGCTAGATCCCTCCTCCTCATCTTGTATTTATCTATTCCAGTGTACTTGCGGTATCAGGTGCGTTGGACGAACTGAGAAAAGACTGTCCGTAAGGATTTCCGAACACATTCTCAAGAATCTGGCGCTACGACAGACAAAGTTCCTAAAAGCTCTGTTGCTCACCACATTTTAGACTGCAACTTGTGTGTTGAGCCAAGCAAGTTTTTTAGGATCATAAGTAGACAACAACACCATCGTCTACTCCAGTTTGCCGAAGCCTCCGCCATTCGACGGCCTAAAACCGACTTGATTAAACAGTTAGACTTTGTCCAGTCTTGTCCTGTCCTATGATTGGCCCAATTGGTGTTCATTTGTCCTATCATATTTTTCTTGTTGGTTAACCTTGAGTAACCAAAAAACTGAATTCATGTTATCTTGCTGAAATGTGGTTCTTCCTCGCCATGATGAAATTTGTTAAGGGAACTACATGTATGAAATTTGTAACTGATGGCTAAATTTTCCTCAATGTGCGGCATTCAATAAGGAGATCAAATTCATTTAGGATACTTTCACTATATTCTCATCGTGCTACTTCCTGTCACCGTAACTAATAAACCTGACTGTGCATTTTGGTCACATTTGTGGGACAAAGTCAAAGTTTTATTATGGGAAATACAAGCGGTTGGTTTTCTAGTCCCATAGGATTTAGCACAGATAAATCGGTTCGCGTCAAGCTTCCTGACTGCTTGTTTGGGGATCAGTTTATTCGATGGTTTAGACTTGATGTTTAATATGCTGAAGTGTCGTAAACAGTAACTCGTGCAGCTACTCAAATTCTTCACAGATTTAGTTAAACTACATGTTTCAGCTTTACCTTGGTGCCGTTCTCAGCTCTGTACTTCTTTCTTCTACTCTTCCATCATTGTTGAACCAATTGGGCAGCTGAAAGACAGCAACTAAAACCGCTGCAGGAACTAGCATGGTTAGTGACTTTACAAACTGAATAGTCCAGGAGATCCATGTTTTTATTCGAATTGCTGACCATCTATTCATTCCTCGCCCATGTGCTTATTAGTTGAATCTTGTTTTCGGTGCTTCATCGACCAGCTAAATACAGCACATTTTGAAGTAGACGAAACATGTGTATAAAAGAAAGCACACAGTTGAAAAGATGGTATTCATTGTATTTAATGGTATGAAAGGCTGATTACCTGCATGAGGGTATGAAAACCCTAACCAGGAGACTAGGTCACATAGGCCCCGTTAAGCTCCCTGGCTGGGGACCTCGGGATGATGGTCACTGATGGTTAGCTACACTGAGTGATATGGCTGGGTGTTGCAAACAGTGGCGCTCATGCATTTATTCGTTATTCTCCTAACACCACTCTATATGAATTCCCCATCTTCCGCTTGAATTTACTTCGACATTCCAATCTTCATTTCGCTCTCTTATCCAAATGGGCAACCAAAACCTGCGCACGAATGTGCATGGTTAATGGTTGTAAAAACTGAACTGAACTGTTGCATTCGATCATTATCAGTGTGAACAAAGAGGAGAAAATCGTTAACTTGCATGTGTTTCCAGAATCATTTCACATCTTGGCTGGTTCTCACTGTAGAAAAAAATGATTATTATATCTGTGAGTCACAAACAGAGGAGAAGCGGAAACAGTCGGACACATGACCAGAATAGGGCCAAGGTAATTGAAGTTCCTTTTGTTGGCACAATGTGGGATTCTATCGATTGTTGGCTAATACCTCAACAAGTCATAGTAACCGTGAGCTTCTGGCGGAATAAGTAATTCTAAGTGATTTTTCACGGTAGTCCTGGTGACGTTTAGTCAACGCTAGCTTCGCGACTGAGGACGCGGTAATGTTCGGCCGAGTTCGTGTAACATTTATTGCATTTATCTCACGTTGAATCTATTTTTGAATATGCCGGGGCAGTCAGTTACGGAACTGTTTTTCTGTTCTATCAATGTAGATATGCCCACATTTACATTCGAATTGATAGGTAATATTTGAATTGTCAAGGAGGAAACTGGACGTTGCCCAACACGTGAGAATTGACGGGCTCTGTTGTGAAGAGCTAGGCAGTGCACCTTAATGAGAGTTCATTGAGTTAGGTTGATTTCGCGCAAAGATAATTAAATCACGACTCTTTCGTCCGTAAACAAAATATGATTAGTTATAATAATGGTCAATCAACAATTCTCGGTCATTTTCGTGTAGTTTGTAACATAATTGTAAACTTTTTCTGTGGTCCCTCCGAACCATTATCTTTTCAGTGGCATGTTGCACGTGCACGGGTGACGGACGTGGCATTAGGCAGATAAAATGAATAATTTCCACATCACTGTTGTGCATGGGCATACGCTCATCCTAGGGTTGCTTCCGTTCCTTAACCGGATCGGTTTGTGGGTAAAACAGTATTCTTGAACCTCGATCAATTCGTACTCTTTTTCCCCTTTCTAATTTTTTCATCCCCTCATGACAGGGCATACTGCGCGAAGGTCGTGAATCCGGTTATCATACGGATGACATCTTCTCCGAAGCTGAATCACTTGTGGAACGAGGCAACCACTTAATTGGGATATGCTCTTCCGTGCTACCTTGGATCTCCACCGAACCTGATTCGATCGTGCTACACCAGTCGACGAATCAGCTTGTCCGTTTCCAATATCGTCTCCCAGCTGCGTTCAATTTAACTTCCGGAAGTCATGCTAACAACAATTCGGCCACAGGAGACGGAGTAAAAGCAAATCCAAGTGTCAGTTTCGTCACTCTTCAACACGAGATGGATCTGCATAAGTAAGCGAGCTCTGTACACTATAGGTACCTTCCTATTTCCACCAATACGCAAACAGAAAGATACTATGGTTCCCGCTAATCGGTTTCCCTTAATTCTATAGTATTTTCAAGCTTAGGCAAGCACGTCGCTTATGTATGTGCGAACAGAACATTTTGCTCTTGGGGCTATTAATTCGCAGTCTGATGGGGATGGGGCTGTCAGATGCGCCTATAAACGAGGTAACTGGTAGCAGCTAGCTGAGATATTAGCTGCACCCATGTTGAATTAGTTCACTTCTGGTTGGTTATCGGTATTTTATTCATATCTATCATGACATCATTGTACCATACGCAGATAGATTTGTTATTATCTTCGGTTTTTTAGCCCTCGCGAACTGGACTTGACGCGACTACTGGAATCATGCAAGCAACTGCATCCGATCAATCTACTTCAGGAACCGTGCGTAAAAGGTCTCAAACACTTCCTGGATCGTCTTGTCGAATGGCGTCAGACAACCGGGGAGACCGCCAGTGATATTTGCCGTCTAATATTGACCACATCAACCCGTAGCTTAACCATGGCTAGTGCGGGAGGCAAACGGTCAGAAATTGAACCGGATGGAGGCAAAATAGACAAAGAAGAACGGGCATTTATCCTCGTCTCCCGTGTGGTGAATGAATTACGTACAGAATTTCCACAATTTGCTTCACGCATTCCCGAATGGAATACGCTTGATCTGGTCGGTCAAATTCATTTGATACATGTTTTTTAAATACCATAGAAATCTTTGTGATGATCGACAAAGAGCGCTTGATAGCTGTTTCGTCCTGTTTGGGACTCGTCAGCAGTGCTTCTTTTTTGTGTCCCAATCGAGACTCGAACCTCGAGCAGTCGATTTGGGACTAATCCAGACATTCACCGTTCAAATGGATTGAGCTATTTGCGTACGGTGATGACCCTACA